GGCTAGAAGCATGCAAAAACAAAAAGTTGCATACAATGATGCTTTACGGTTGCTGCTGAGGGTACCAAGATGGCAGAGTGCGAGCCAGCTGTTTGTTAACTTGGGGGTACCTACCTTTCAAGCCCTTTTAAGAAATGTAATGTACAAATTCATGTGTCGCCTAGAAGAATCTGACAATCATTTTATCTCGATTTTAATTAACCCTGGGAAGAGTTCTACTCGGTTCTCTTCCATGATTTGGAGACATTGGCGCAACAGCCTCCACAGACAGTGAGCATATATGTGTGGCGAGCTGTCATTGGACTGATTTTATGTTTTTTATCTGTTTGTTTTTTTGTTTAGCTTTTTAATCTTATTTATTGATGTGTATCTTGTCTTTTTGTATGTGATATGGACCTTGAGTCTGAAATAAAGATTGAATTGAATTTACAAGATATTTGATCGTTTGTAAAAATATTTTTAAATATTGTTTTTATCTTCTAAGTTGTATATTTATTTTAAGGACTTATTAGTTCAACCTGATGAGAAATCAAAATGAATTTCCTCCAGATATATTAAAAAAAAAAGATCGCATTTAATTGATCTGCTTATTTTAATATGTTAAAAGCTTGGTTTACAATCTAACAGCACTTGGTGACATTAAGGGCTCTTCACTTGAGTTCTTCCCTTGCTCACCATTATGCAACATCACATCACTAGGGGGCACTTCAATCCCACTTGTTCTCCTCACCAGCTAAATAAAGTAGCAAACAGCAGAACAGATCAGAGGACTATTTTGAGGAGAATTTTTGTTTTGTGTTACCTTTCCTGACGATTTGATTCCTTTGGCTAGAGAGGCATAGACGATTAACCAGGCGAGCATCAGACAGCCTGCCAGAGGCCAGCGGATATCTCCTGGAAACTCAATTCCTTTGGAGATGTGCAACACGTTGTACCTGCAGGCGGGATTCAAACAGCAAAACTCAACCTGAAAACACACCTCATAAACTCAAACAAAATGCAATAATACACAATTCAAATATGTATTAGCAAATAACTAACTTACTTTTTAAATATTCAATTCATATATGTATTGTTCCACAAATCTTTCAAATATGTTCTTTAACTGTTTCCAACAGCAATCAAAGTTATTTGAGAATTTGTATAATTATTTGACTTCATTGTTTGTAGAAGTTTCCCATTATTCTGTCTCGTTTCACACATTCATTAAATGCTACGGAAAAAATGTTTATTTGTTTTTTGTATATGTTTTTGAGTTGTAGATATACAACTTTTGATTTATAACTGAAAATTGTTGTAATACTTTTATTTAAAAGATTACTATTATTATTTTTGCAGGACATTTTCAGGTGAAACTGGTGTAAAACCTTTTTCTTCGTGTTAAATGAGTTCCTTAATATGTCCTTGTTTAGACACAAACATGTTAACACATTATTCTGTGAAACTCCTTTAAAAGCGCATATGGCAGACTTTAAGGAGTTAAACATTACTCTCTATTATCATGATCAAGCTTGGTGTTTTTTTAAAGACTCTAGCAAGCCGAGCACATTCAAGACAAACATATCTGATTGATCTTTCATCTGTGGAAAATAGTAAGAAAATTAAAACTTCAAACTAAAACACAGCCGTCATTTATGTTGCTATGAGTTGTAATGCTACTTTTATTGGCTGTTTATGCCAGACTCACTTGAAGTACTCCTCGCTGGGGCTGACGTAGGTGTGGTTGCCGTCCACCGTCATGTTCAGCAGTTTGCTCAGGTTTCCCATAGTGTTTGCGGACAGACAGAAAGAGGAGTTCTTGATGGAGGTGAAGTTTCTGTCCCGCAGGATGCACGAGTCTGTTCCAATCAGAAACTACACACGTCAACTGGGAGAGACTGGCAGAGTGCTGCAGTGGGAAAGAGCTCACTGTCCCTCAGGCTCACCCACTGAGGTTAGTGGGAGCGGACACATGGGGGGCTGACAGGAGACAGCAGTGTGGATCCTCAGTGAGAGGACTTAGTTGGATGTTTTGTTATTTTTGTTATTTAGCCAGATGTGAAAATAAAAATTATTACACTGAACTATCTATAATCAATGCCTCATTTATGATACTCCAGGAGTCCAGTCAAAATTGCTTTTAATTTGACTGCAAAATATTGTCATGCAGACAAAGTGTGATGACACTTGTTTAAGTCCTGCTTTTAATGCATTGTAATGCAGAAAACATGCCAGTGCTTTGCATTCAGATATTTTTTTTTCCTAAGATAGAAAATGGCTAAAACACTGCATATAATATGTTACAAAACAATGGCTCAAGCACTCATGCGCATAAAAAGAGTGTTTCCTGTTCCTAGGAAAGAACAAATATATCATACCACTGAACCTAATGCAACAGCACTGCAGAACATGCACAACAAAATCAACCTCAATAAACGTCTGTTTGACCGAAATATTTGGAAAAAGCACAGTTAAAATGGTATGTGTATTGTTTTGCATGCCTATTGTATCAGATTGTAAAGATGTAATTGAGTCCACTGCACTCCATGTACACGTATGATTTGAACGTATTCATTGCCTAAATTACAGGTTTTATATAACCTTCAATAACCATAGTGGTTGACTGATTTTATCACTGCTAATATGTATCCTTTATCTATAATGTCCATCCTTATTGAGGTCCAGAGCCTAGTGTTACAGGCCTGCAGTTCACGCAGCAGCCAGCAGGGGTCAGTCTCGGGCACACCGCAGCACTGCAGCAGCCTGTACAGTAAATGTGTCAACCGAGCAGTTTTTTTGCTGAATTCACACAATTGCTAAAGGCGAATATTAAACAAAATTAACGGAATTTCGATATTTATTCGAACCACGTCGACATAAATTACCTCCAAGGCCCTCCCCACACATTTTCTGTAGAGAAACCACCATTTCATAAACAGTTTCATTTAAAAATTAACCAAAGCCATAACATATCTGACATTATCACACAAAAGAAGAATCACAACTATTTCAAATGTTTTTTTCTAAGTAGAAAATGTCACATCGAGGCCTGGCCTTACATATAGTTTGCCTGTATCATAGCAAATGTATGGATTTTAAGTATTTTGGGGAGTGAAAACACCGCAGAGATCACAGGTCAGGATTCATTATACTGCAGGACACCTAAGAGGGAGTCGTGACGCATTGCGCATTGTGGAGAGAGGTACTTTTGGTGTGTGTGTGTGTGTGTGTGTGTGTGTGTGTGTGTGTGTGTGTGTGCGTGCGTGCGTGTGTGTGTGCGTGCGTGTGCGTGTGTGTGCGTGTGTGTGCGTGTCTTACCTAGCAGCAGCATGTCTTTGTCCTTACATTCCGCCGTGTTCCACTCATTCCTACAGTTAGCCCATGGCAGTGAGCCCTTCAACGAAGCGAACAGGTAGTACAGTGTCCAGCACATAATAATATTATAGTATATGGCTATCAAGACAGATATTATCAACATGGCAATCCCGCAACCTAAAATAAATAAATGAGACGAAATATATAAATTACTCTTGAGAAAAAGTAGATGAACTCTTGTTTATAAATTAGTTTTTTATTTTTGAATTGGCTCTTGGTTGGTTAGTTGTTGCAGTGTACCTTGCAGAGCTGGGATGCATTTCCACACTGACACGGGCCCCTGGCTGGCAAACTGGCCCAGGGCCACCTCCATCAAAAAGATGGGGACGCCGGCAATGCCCAACATTGTCAGGTAGGGGATCAAAAAAGCTCCTGCAAGGAAAGGAAGCAGCAGGATGTACAGAGCGCAGTTTAAAAGACAGAAAAGCCCGAAAACTAACACTAAACCGTTATTCGAATTGAATGTAAGTAAAGGATCTCATCAGCTGTTATTCAAACCACACACAGTTTGTGCCATTACCTTGATTGATAAATTAAAAAAACCATAAATGATCTATAAACGATTTCAAGCAGAGCTGAACAAGTCATTGATTGTTATATCAAATGTAGTGGATAGTAATTGATAATAATGGTATTTATAATATCATTAACTGTGTCTTCGTTCACAGCAGTCTTATACAAATTAGTAAGACTTAATTAAATGCATTTTTCTTAACATCATCTTTATTTATTTAATTATTTTCGTTGTTCTCATTCAAATAGTTGCTATCCAAAATCTCTCCTGTATTTTCCGGCTGGTCTAAGGGCTACCAAAGAAACATCTCAAAAGGAACAATAGAAATACATTAAAACCCTGATTTCTGATGGGAAATAACTCTCTGCATTTTCGACCAGATTTTTTGTTTGTGTCTTACCTCCACCATTTTGGAAGGCAAGATAAGGAAACCGCCACACGTTCCCAAGACCCACAGCATAGCCCACCATAGACAGAATAAAATCCAGTTTATTGGTCCAGTTTCCTCTGGCCTTATTCTCATCTCCCTCTTCGTCCTCCTCATCAGCCTAAGAGGGAAAAACATTCAATTATTCTCCAAAATAAAACCCACCCTCTCCAAGTTAAACCATAACTGTATATGAATACTATAAATAAAGACCTGGGTCTGAAAGATGGAATTTTATCATGAAAATATATGGACGTTAGTTCTTTTAAGTCAAAAAGCACCAACAAAATGCACATCTCTTTTTAAAGAACAAATAGGCTACAATTTTATTTAACTATCATAAAGAAACCTTGAAATATTTTCCCCATTTAAAAATACAAACGAATCAATACAAATATTTTAGAGTTCAGCTTGGTACACTTGATCTGAATTTCCCTATAAAGGTTTATCTTATCTTATGATTTCCTCACTAAAATTCAATTTTTTCCATTATGTTGATTTCATTAACAGATGCAGTGGACAATCAGATATCAGCACAAACTTTCCAATGACAACCCTTTATAAAACTCGTCTTTAACTGCACTTATGGGCCCGATATTGCAACCAAACCGCTTGAAAGCACCTCCTAAATCTAAGATTTTAATATTAAAAAAGCTGCTAAGGGTCCACAAATATAAAGCAAATGGGCTACTAAAAATTCATAAATACAATTGTATGGCAGGATATGAGCTGAATACAAGAAACTGCATGAATATTCAGATAATAAACAACGCCATGCATGGGAATGTGTGTATTTGTGTGTGTGTAGGTGTACTGTAAGTGTGCGTGGGGTGGGGGGTGCCCTCCACGGGACTGAAACAATCCGCAGTCTCATGTAATACATTGCTGTCTATCAGCCGGATAACACCTGGGCTTTTGGGCCATACCAAGTGTGTCTGCTGGGAGCGGGGAACACCGAAAATACCACGAGAGTATAATTGAATTCCATTTATCGTGCTACCATTGTTACTGTCTGAAGAAAAATCAAGCAGAACAAATCATTGGAAATCGCTCTGTACGAAAAACAAATAGTCTCGTTAAGGACTAATGTTCCATCTGCACTGATGCTGATCAGATCATCCATCACACTGATTCATAAATAAGACGCCGTTTTGTTCCCGGATATTTAGCTGACATAAGCAGGTTTGAAAGTTTTGATCAGATTGGTGCAGAGGGATCCGGACTTGACGCTGCGCAGAGCAGGGACCCCAAAGAGCTCAGAATCCCCCCAAAGAGCTACAGTCCTTTACATGCAATAATCCAGCGTTTACACATGTTCCATTCAAAGCCCCTATAAACCAGCAGCATGCACCTCTGCCATGTGGCTTTGTGGAAGTGTTAATACAGCCTGGATTACAACATGGACAAATACTTTCTACTATAGCATTTGTAAAAAGCATTTGTTTTATATTCCAAAAATGAACGATCTATATAGCCTATACTCCTATCTTAATGAGTGCTTAATTTTTAGGCTATGATCTGATCGCCATGACAAAAGGGGTCTCATAATGTCTTAGTAACCGGGGGTTACACATCCACTGTTTAATTCATTCACCACTTTTTAAGCACATCTGAGACAAAACCATGAACCAGCCTGCACATTTTTAAGGGACATTCATATCATCTCAGCATTACACACTCCGGATCTTTCACTCCACCACACATCAGCAGCCCTGCTCTACAAAAGCTCTGCATGGCGGTGGGAGCTCCCAGGGGTGTGCACCTCTACCGTTGGAAACAGCTGGTTAGATCCACTCAGAGACACACGGAAACATCCACACCGCTCTCAGACCAGCCGCTCTCCGTTAAGGAAATGCTTCATTTACCTGACTTACCCCCGCCACAGTGCCGGGCTGAACAGACGTGTTCCCATCTGTTCCCAGGATGATGGTGGTTTGGCTCATAGCCGTCCAGTTGCCCGCGGTGTTGTTCTGCTCTGCTGCCCGGAGTGGGTCGCCGTACAGGGCGGCCCCCTCTCGGGCCGAACCTGCGGATTCTTTCCTGAAGGCCGAGTTCACGACCACGGATCCAGGGGCCGCCGGAGCGGTGTTTTTAAACGTCCCATACGCTTTATTGCTGTCCAGTTCTCCCTGTTTATTTTCCGTGGAAGAAAAAGTTTTGCTCTCGTTGCAGGGAGCAGGCGGCTGAGGCGCCGGGTGGTGGTGAGGGGAAGCCGGCGGGCAGGCGGCCGTGTTGTCTGGTTTGCTTGCTGTAAGTCCCGCAGCTCCGTCGGGCTGCTGCGCCGGGATGTAGCCGGTGGGAGCGCTGGCCGGCTGTTTGGCCATTTCTCTCTGGTCAGAGAAATCCTGGAACATGGGAGTAACAGATCAGCAAAACAAAAGGCAGAAAAACGACCGAAAGCATGAAGCCGTGGTGAAGCTGCTGCTTTGGACCTAACAATACTCAATTCTCTTTCTGCAACATTTTTCTGCAGCATGTTCTGGCTGCTCTATAGTTTCAGCTCAAAGTACCCGGTGTGTGTGTGTGTGTGTGTGTGTGTGTGTGTGTGTGTGTGTGTGTGTGTGTGTATGTGTGTGCGTGTGTGTATGTGTATGTGTGTGTGTGTGTGTATGTGTGTGCGTGTGTGTATGTGTGTGTGTGTGTGTGTGTGTGTGTGTGTGTGTGTGTGTGTGTGTGTGTGTGTGTGTGTGTGTGTATATATATATATGTGTGTGTGTGTGTGTTGGTGGGAGGGGGTTTGCTCGGCTTCTCCAGTTCTCGCTTTCTGCAAGATTCTTTAATTTTACGCCCCATTTCCCCCTCATGTCATTCAGCCACACACAATCCACTGATTTTATGGGCAATAGACAAGCTGCTGCAGGTCTCTTGGTATAGCTCCACTCTCCCCGGCAGGCATGCAAGATCACCGGCGTTACAGCAGTGAGCGGACCCGAGGCGGGGAATTACAAATGACTCCCTGAAATGCTGCTTTGAGGGATAGCAACCAGAAAATCTTCAGTTTTGAAAAAGAAAAAAAATCAACTTTGTCATTGATTAATGCTCAGAAGTGTTTTAAATTAGTGAGAAAACAAAGAACTGCAACTGGTTCGCTTATCGGTTATATTTAAAAAGAAAACAAGTACAATCAAAAATAGAAAAGTGGTATGATAAACAAACATACAGTTTTCTCGCGTCAGAACTTTAAAAAAGCCACACAATGGGCCTCTACAAGTTAGAAAAAACGGAATAGTAGGTGACAGAAAGAGAGAAAAAAGTTTTTAAATGTGGAGTTGCCGCAGCTGAAAATCAGCACCATGGAGAGTGTCGGAACAGCAACGTGCCAAACTGCATTGAAAAAGTGTCAATCAACAAGAACAAATCCCAGAACAAGTTAATTACACAGATAAAACAGCAGATAAAAGTAAAAAAAGTGTTTTCGAACACTTACCATATTTGGGTGTCTGCTGGCAGGCTGATGTCAGTTGTAAGAGAGGACTGGAAGCGGACTGCCTGTACCCGCGCAAAGCAGCGAGTGCAAAAGCTCTTCTATAGCTCCGTGGGAAAGAGTGGAGTTTGCGTCAGTGCAGAGCAAGGTGCCCTTCGCGTGACATTTTCTTGATAATAGGAGTTTGATAAATCATTGGCCTTGATTCGGATTTTTAAAGGAGCCAATACGATGAGGGGCGCGTGAGTCAGTGTGTGCGTGAATTGTGTGCGTTCTTGTTACGCACGGGCACGGCATGAACGCTGGACGGACTCTTTCTTTAATACACTTGTTTCTGGGGATGTGTTACACACACACACACACACACACACACACACACACACACACACACACACACACACACACACACACACACACACACACACACACGCACACACGCACACACACAGACACACTCGTTTGGGATAAAGATTTCCAGGTTTAGGATTTTATTGGAGAGGATCTAATGCAGCAGAGAGCACGTGTCTAAATAATACTGTGCTGAGTCTTGATTCTCTGGTAAAGTTACCATTACAGTAGCCACATACTGAAAGGGTCATTTGCACAAGATTCTTGATTTTATAGAAACACGTTGTGATATCCCGCCATAAACATTTAGGCCCGACAATGCAGAAGCTACACAAGCTACACAATAAATGGGGGTATTAGTTGTAGAGGTTTATAATAGTTGGACAGTTAGCTGGACGAGGATGGTATTCGTACACATATTATCATACATAGAGATACATTAACATGTAAGGTGTAATAAAATACACGGTCTAACACTATGGGCTATAAATGGTCTGAACTATAAATAGTTTTTCCACTTGGCAGGTTTTACGCACGAGAGGTTCTATACGTTCCTTCGTGCGTCAGCAATAGCAGCATTGATCAAGTTAAAAAAAAAAGTGGGCGAGGTCTTTATAAAGCTACTCATTTGTTAAAGTCTTACGCAAGAAGGAGGCCTCTTTTTTTCTTAAATCACGTGTGTCAGGAGGAACCAGAGCCAACCATAGAGCTTGGACTGTAAGCAGTAACAGCAGAGGAAAAAAAGTGCCATGGAGATTCTAAAACGCTGCATTGCGCATACCATCCTCCAAGCCTGCCTTTAAACGCCCAATGTATATGCAAGTCCTGTGTTTGGGAATGTATAGGCCTTTCAACAACAACAAAAAGGCACAAGCGTACTCGTTTGTATCATCAAAGTTGTATAAGTGTTCATTATAAACAGTTCAGGCCTCCTTGCAGAACAAAATAATAAAAAAAACACACAGAGCCGATACAAGGGAGGGAAACTTGTTTCGTGTTTAAATAGGACACTTTATTGCAACAAATTATTTGTGCTGAATAAAGCAGAAATATCTCCTCCCCTGTGATTGGCTGAGTCACACTGGTTGGTTGGACCTGACAGTCCAATTATAAACGTGTTAACGAAAAAAACGAGGTAGTTGCTTAGCAACCACGATGTTTAGTTAGCTGTTTTTACAAGCGATATGCAGGCGAAAAATGGCAGAGGAATAACATTTAATACAAATAATAATGATAAAAACCCATTGCCTAGTGGAATGTCTACAACATTTACTCAACAATTAATATCTAGCAAATATCCTATTTTTCTTTTTCTTAATGAATTAGTTTGAATAATTGTGCAACTTTTACCAAGATAAGGCTGGATAATGCTTAACATTAAAGAACAATGCTATGTCATCAAATAGTTTCAACTGAACCCCAAAGGCCTGTTGATACACTAAGATAAACACTTAGAAAAACATCTCATTAAAATAAAGAAGCGAATCTGCTGAGTGTTTTTAACCTTTTTTTTCACGACACCTGAGTAGGTTGGAGGCAGTGTCCCGGCTGTGATTACTGCGGTTACACAGGGGTACCTCCGGCCGCTCGCTCACTGTGCACGCGGCGCTGCCTCCCTTGTAAATCTCCGGACGGCCCAGATAACAGCTGCAGCGGTGTGTTAGCCGCCGCCTTCACTTTAATTACATTGTCAACACAGAATAATTGTAATTGATTTCTGCTCGTCTTCCAGAGTCCGCTGTCCACGGACTAATGCACACACACGGCTATAGGGCCTAGGCCTACTCTACATTTGATTCCCTTGTGGATTTCAAAGAACTGACAGAACATGGGATGCTTTGTACACATCAGAAGAAAAAAGAGCACGTATATCGCAAATACGTTTCCTTCTCTAACGTGAGGAGAGTCCCTAAAATCCGTCCGTCTTGTTTTTCTCACAAACCTTTTTTCAATAGTTTATTTGTGAAGAGACTGCTGATCGAGGAGCTGAACTAACCTCCACGCGAGGGGTTTCTCTCGGTGTCTCCTCGTGCTCGTTAATTACATGAGCTCGTCTAATTAATTGATCCCTCCCACTGTCGCCTGACTGATAAGAAGTCGCATCCATCTGAATCGCCTGGGAAGCAGTGATTCAGAGGAGGAGGTCAGACAGGGGCCCGTGGCACCCATCATCATCATCATCATCATCAGTCTTGGACCTGCATTTGTGTTAGGGAATTTACGTAACAGCGTTAGAAAAACCGTGTTGTAATTGTACTAAGAATGACAGCGGTCTGATTTGTTCATGCAGCTGCTTTTTTTGAAACATACTCGTTTTTTTTGTGACTGCCTCATTCAAGGTAGTAGGGCAATTTAAATTATAGTCGGCCACTATTAGTAATACTCTAAATAGCCTACATCTTGATTTTGTAAAAACAACTTTTTTTTTTAGCAAAGTTAAAGGTGGGGTAGGTAATTTTGGAGAAACCAGCTCGAGTGCGCTAGAATTTGAAAATACACAGCCGGAAGAAATCTGCTACTTCCTTACAGAGCCCCTCCTCCAACACACACGAACGCGCACATGACCAATGAGGGCACGAGATAAGTTTGTGCACAGATGGAAGGCTGACAGGCAGGTAGGCCATCCAGTTAATTTAGCCGAGCCGTCTAAAATGATTGGTCGTGCTTTTTACAGTACTACGGCTTCCACAGATGACATTTTTTTATGGATTTTTTGTCAAAGCACTTAAGATATTCATTGCTATCGGGATGTTAAGAGCATTCCATGGAATATAAAAAAAAGTGTATCTCGAGCCGGATTCTCAAACTTACCTAACAAATATGAATCTTCCTTACGCCCTGTGAGGCAACATTTGACACTAGACATTAACAGACAACATTTTAAAGTAGTAATTCCACCACGTCTAAGGTAATTAATAGCTGACTATAAAGGTGATTAAGAACATCTGCATGCTAAAAAAAAGACAGCTGATTATAATTGTATTTCTTCAAGAACCACATATTCAACAGTTATAAGCCTTTACTTTTTTCCAAAGAATAGCCTGTATGCTCCATTTCATGTCAGTGTGCAGACCAGACTGTATTCAAATAATGGCAGAGGACACAGAAGTAGTGAACATACATCTCAAGAGATGCAGGCAGCAGGCAGCCAGCCGCAGTCTGTCACTCTCCCTCTTCCTCCTCCTCCTCCTCACAGACCACTACTCTATCCCATAGTCCAGGATTCATCATCTCAGGCAAAGAAGAAAAGGAACAAATATTTAATTGTAAGCAGAGCTTGCTCAATGAAGTATGTAAAGAGGCTTCAGTCAGCCTTTTTAAAGCTGAAATTCATTTTGCGTTGTCCCAGTAAACTCACGGAAGATGGATGATGCCTCCGGTGAGATATCATGTAGCTCAAAGTAGGACAATAAGGAGGAGAATGTGGAGGGAAATTAGGAGAAATACTTGGCAAAAGGACAAAATGTCTTTACGAAGAAATGGCGGACAGTTCGTCTCGGTGCTTTTCCTTTAGTTAGACATTTCGATGAGACAGGAGTGTAAAGGTGCACAATAAGAGTAATTTCAACTGTTAAGTCTGTGTGGATTTGGTTATTTTCAACTCACAAGACGTTTAAGTTTAAAACTGGGCCAAATTTAAAAGTTGAGCATTTTTGGACATTAGGTTATAGTTGTTTCAACAGACTGCATTTCAAGGTGCATCACATTTAAATTGAGTTAATGCCACTTAAAACAATGATTACATTTAACAATTTCAAAACCCTCCTTAAATGATGTACCAATGAATCAAATAAATAACAAACTCACAAGGAATCTCATATGTCAGCTGTTTTTTTTTTATTACAAGACACAAGATCAATTCTGAATACATGAATGTTCAGTTAAAAATGTGGGTTATATTTACTGTATGTTGTATCATGCAATAGCTGACATTATTGCAGGCTATAAATCAGCTTCCTGTCTCGGAGGTCAAATGTTACGAACAGCGAGCGCGGGTCCTTCTTGTTTTTACGCACAGTGATCTTTCCCTGGAGTTCCTCTCCTGAAAAAAATAAGAGATAAATACTAATCAGTGTAGTTCGTTCAAATTGCATAAAGGAAAAACCTTCACTGGAGTGTCCCTCCTCCTTTAAGTGTGAGTCACAGAAGGCCGCTGTTGAAGGGTTAAGTTGGAAAGATCTGGGACACGGTCGGCCATCCCTCCTGTGTGCAAATGTAAAATATGAAAAAAAAGCAGGACTTTGATCTGAGTTTCACGCTTTGAAGTTTCTCAGGACACTTGGTGGCAAATAAGATTGAAGTTGACTGTAAGACAGAGGGGAGAGTTGGTTTTTACCTCAAAGTTGATTTTGAAATGTCTTCCAATCAGGTGGCATTTATAATAATGGGGGGGAAGCCCAATAGCAGAAGACACATTCATTTAAATTGACAGCTGGAACAAAAAGATACTGTACTTGGACCATATATAGACACTGTAGCTGTTGCCATTTCCATATACTGATTGTATATACTCCACATGGTTCATAGGGAAGAACACTAAAATATACAAACACCTTCTGTATAAATAATGGCCCCTAAGCATGTTGATTCCTACCGAAATGATTACGTCCGGGTCACAAATAGTACGGTTTTTTTTGTAAATGGTAGCCTACGTTTAAGTCTTGAAATTGCTTGGTATTAGGTTTTTAGCAACCTTTACTGAAATAGAACCAAGTAAAACCTGTGCGGGGGAACAGTGTGGCTCATTGATGTATAATTCTAACAAATAATTAAATTACGATGTGTGTTTTATTTTCTCCACTTGGAAAAGAGTTGCTTTTGTTCTGGGATAGCATATATGTTAAGCTTCTTTCTTTTTTCAACAACATGTTTGAGAACAAATGGCTGAGAATAAGAGTTGTTGTTGACGTAGAGACAAATCAAATAATTAAAATCCTTAATCATAAAAAGAAATTCTGATTAGCATTCTCAGTATATATCAACTAAAACATCTACGCCTTTATATAGTAGACTTTTAAAAAACATCAAAAGGCAGAAAAAATCAATCAGTGGGTTCATAATAAAAGAGAAATGAATAAATGCTCATAAAAATACATTTTCCTGACGCCCTGCAGCAGTACAGTGCTGCTGAGCTCAGGACTCTGCAGTACGAGCAAAGACACACACTGGTGCTTAATTATGATGTGTGTAAAGGCAATATGGTTAAATGTATGTTAATAAAAAAGATCGTGTGAGGGTGTATGTGGACGTGCTGAAGACTCCAGATGGCAGCGAGGAAGAAGTGCATTTACAGTACGACGCACGAGCGATCGAGAGGCCGGAAGAGGAGGCTGATGATTATGACGCATAATCACTCTGATTAACTTCACGTTTGACTGCTGGAGGTAAATGAATGTTTACCCACACGGCAAACAAGCATCCTCTCACCCCCACCCTCCTCTCCGTGCTACACACTCTTCATAGCTGGAGGTTAAAAGAGGACGAGGAGAGAAAAATGCTGACTGACACTTTCTCCGTTGAAGCGTTAGCCATCACTGCTGTCACATCTCACTCGTTACCATGCCAACGCCGCTATCACAGAGTCTTTGCGGCTGGCGCCGCTCTCTGGGTTTGTAGGTCCATTGCAGAAAAATGGCAGATTGACTGTAAACTGCGGGTGCTTTAGTCAAAACTAGAGATAAAATATCCTGTTCAAAGTAAAAACTGTACATTTAAAAATACTGTCGTTGTACAGCATTAAAAAGTAACAAGAAACCAAACAATGGCAGAATCAAGACTTGGGTAAAGTATTTGCCATGGAGCTGTTGAGAGGGACCTCCTCAAAGTTCTCTAGTTGTCAAAAAAGGCACAGCATGCTTTCAGGGTAATAATCACAATGAATTTTAATAACCATATTGTGTAAAGACAAGGCTGGGACATCACCCCCTTGTAAGGAGCCTTGCCGGGGTATAACTACGGTAACCTCATTCAGGAAAGAGATTGAGGTTTGCCGGAAAGCATTTTAGGTAATAGATAGAGGCACTGCTTGAATGACTTTTTCAAGTTCAGAAGAAGAAAGAGACAGCTGTGTTTTAACATGACCGGATGACAGAAATAATTAGCAAATGAAAGTTAAAGGCCCAAACATTTAAATATCTGGCTTTCTGGCTGAGTGACTCAGCTTATTACTGTACACAACAGTTTTAAATGTTGCAAGACTGGTACAGATGTAGTCTATAACACGAATGTAGACGGGGCCTATCTTCCACTCCATCACCAACTTGCATCGCATCCATGGTCAATCATTGACACGATACAAACCAAACTACAATTTCAATGAACAATTATGTGCATTTGAATACAGAACCTGTAGGCAGGGGGACATGATTTAGTTATCAAAAGTTTGAGCAGTTTATGTTTGCGGGTACACCCATTGGCTATCATCTGATGACTTTCGATTATTATTATTTTAACTCATTATTATTTTAACTCTTAACCAAGTGAAGCCTGGCTACTTGGTAAACAATACAGGCCTAATTATGGTCTCTGAACTTTAACTTTGTTCTCCCATGTAAAAATGGCTAGCCCGATCCCAGAGGCTAATTTGTTGTTGGACCAATAGCCGATGGGTTGCAATGTTGACCCATCTGTAACGGAAACGTTCACACAGAGGCCTGGTTTGTGTTTTCTGTTTTGTTAAACACTGCTGATCTCTGTTCATAGGCTAATGTTAAGGATGTACAAAAAAAAACATATATTCAAACTCATTTGGATTTCTTTCATTTTATAGGAATATTAAAAAGTAGCCTCAATTTACCCTAGCTACGGTAACAGCAACAGAGCCCGATGCTCAAGGGAGTCACTGATGGCTGCAGTCCAAACTCAAGTTGGCGAAAAGCTGTTTAAGGTCAAAGGAATAATTGTTTGACATTTGGTGAACTTTTTGGAAAGTAAAAGGTGTGGGACCAAGAACGTTTGCCATCAAAATAACTGCAGAAAAATGTCCAACTAACCCCTCATGTTTCACATTAAAGTACTGAAACATATCAACCGGATGTCTGCCGCGGTTCGACTTCAGCAGCTCTGCTGTAATCAGTCAGACCCAACTCCCCCTGGAAGAGGCTTCAGTAAACTGGCCACTCAGATGCTGGGAGAAAAAGTTAACCATGTGTGGAAATGAGTCGGGGAATGGAGGCGGCCTTTCACCGCGATGTCGTACATCAACATGCCAGTGTCATTAAGCACAACCAGGCCCACAGAAACAGCCGAACCCAGCCTTCCTCCATGAAATTACACTGGAAATACAAGACTCGCATTACTGAATCATTTCAACTGTTGTCATTTACATTTAACCAGTCACACGCCTACAGTATGTGTAGCTCCTGCAGTGGGGGCTGGAGGTGAAGTACTACAGTACTGAGGCTCAGCTTTTTTTTAAAAAAACACCATGATGTTCTTCAACAGAGCAGATTGGTTAAATCTGAGTTTTATCTTAACAATATGTCCAATTAAACAGGAAATTCCAATTATTTTATGCTAGGCGTATTTACTATCGGTATTACTCACTGTCCCTCTCTATCAATAGGAGGGAAGGACTGAGAGCTACATTAGCTTTATGTTGCATTCCACAAATGATTCAAATGTTCATAAAAGCGTAAGGAAAAAATGTATACATGAAAAACAAAGTGAAAAAGAAAAAACATTTATCTACAATGCTCTTAGGATTCCTATCTGTTAGAGGAATAATTCAAGCATAGAATGCACCCACTTCCTCTTCAGCCCCTCTCTGAAACGGCACTGATGCTCACGGTCACATTTCAGACACATCTGTTTGATTTCCTCCCTCTTGCTGCAGTCTACCTTCATTTCATCTGTTGGTACTTCTCAGGCCTTACTCTTCAGGGAAGAGCTAAGAAGCCAAGCGGATGGGGGGTTAATCCCATGCACCAGTGTGTAGACAGAAAACCAGTATGTTGAATTATAGGCCTGAAGAAGCTGAAGGTTGGCTCGGCCCCTGATGTTGGAAAGCTCAAGGACCTTCGGAGTTCAAACAAGGGGCCAGGGCGAGAGAGTTAGTGAGCCTGGACAGGTGAGGGCGGGGGGAATGGAGATTTGAATGAGCTACAGCCCCACTCGGGACAGGGGAGGTGACTCATGAAAGTGGGAGGGAACAAAAACCATCTGACTGTCCAATGGAAGTCCTGACAAGAACAAACGCCCATGGCGCAGGTAACCAGGCCACGGCCTCACCTCGAGGATCATGGGACTGTCTTGCAGGAGAAAACAAAATGTGACCTCCTTTTCTATGGTTACATTAAGTAAGGTAATGCTGTGAATAAAAGGACCCTCCTCTTCAATACTGGAGCTACACAAACACATCAAAGCATGACAAATGATTCACTGTTTAATTTATTACGCTGCCAGCCGGGAGAATTTGCAGGGATGTTTTGTTCCAGCCTGCTGCGTGGCTTCTCTCTTCTGCCGGCACCTCCCACAGAAGAGCATCCTCGGAGTTAATTACTGCTGCACTCCTACAAACACATCAAATAGGATTCGTTCTCCACTTTGATAAATCACCACAGACAGAGTCGGTATTAGAACAAACCACTGGATGCTTTTGCCCTGCCCCTCGATACAGCCGTTCAGAGCTGAAGGTGCTTCTCAGTCAACACCAAGGAGGAGAGGCCAGTGTGTGTGTGTTAGTGTGTGTGTGTGTGTGTGTGTGTGTGTGTGTGTGTGTGTGTGGTGTGTGTGGTGTGTGTGGTGTGTGTGTGTGTGTGTGTGTGTGTGTGTGTGTGTGTGTGTGTGTGTGTGTGTGTGTGTGTGTGTGTGTGTGTGTGTGTGTGTGTGTGTGTGTGTGTGTGAGAAAGTTTTATCATCTTCAAGGTGACTTTAGGAAGTTTCCTCTTACAGCCAAAGGGAGTTAAGTATAGAACTATGCAAGTACTCTTGTGAATTTCAGCGTGTAAAGGAGCAGCGCGTGTGTGTGTTGTAAAGTACTCCATAGGGGCATAGCAGGCAGCCAGTAAAGGCTGTTAAAAACTCAATTTCTGGTTTACGGCTCCTGGAGGAGGCTGTGGACCGTCAGGGTTCCGTTGTGGATCGAGGACATCAATAACCTGCCGCTCACTCCCTCACTTACACACTTCCACATTCATTTTGTACTTTCTTTAATATTTTCCTCCTTAAACTTGGCTAGACTCAGCTATGGATAGGAACTGGCTGGATCTGAGCTCAGACTGTGAACATGTGTGTGTTTGCATGTGTCAGAATGCCTTCAGGTAACTCCAAGAGCCCAAATGCTCTGCTGAAAGTGGTTTGTGTTAGGAAAATGTTTTTTTCATCTTACATTAACAATTTTGTAAAAATACACTTCTCACGGTGTATCAACTGTAGGAAGGCTATAGTATACAGACAAGGGGAAACAACTGCCAGCTGGTGGATTTGAACCATTAACATTTTGGCTAAGTGGCACTAATGCCCAAATGAAAGGTTGTATTAGCTGTAAAGTGTCTCTACTGTAGGCTATTTTGATTATATGTACAGCACTTTGGGTCGACCAAAAATCGTTTATAAATGTGCTATACAAATAAAAGTTGATTTGATTTGATTTGATTTGAAAAGTGTTCACCTTCTTTCGAGCATTAATGTGTTCGGTAGTGCTACATGGCTAGCTTTGTTTGCATGGTTCGTCCGAAATAAACGATAACTGTGATTTCAAGTTAATGAGCTAAGAAGCAAGGTATGGTCAGCGCAGACACCTATACCCCCTTTAAAATTGTTGGAAAATTAACCCCACTGCAATATCCGCCATATGCATGCGAACATTTTTGCAGCAACACAAACACGCCAAGAGGTGAAGTTATGCATGACGTATAAGACCCATCCCCCTTCAGTTTTCAATTATAGGGAGATTAACTATGGAAACCAGACTGTTTCATGTTTATTTTGACGGTTCATTTTAACATGGGGGTCTGTTGCCCCTTTCACAACACCGCAGTTCCGGTTCTAGCTCTGTGCTAGAGCTTTTCTGGTTCGGAACCGGTTCTTCTTTTCAGCCCCCGCTTTGTTCACACTGCCCAGAGCCCGACTGGTGCTGCCGCTGCTGCGTCATGACATCACCGTTTACGTCGCTGAATTTCTACCCAATGGCGCTCACTACAACAACAATGGGGGACTGCGTCAGGTCGATGATCTTGTTGCTTTTAATCATACGAAGCCAGATTAAATTAAATAACGACTTCTCCAACCTTATAGTCCAGAGTGCCGTGGTTCATTGTTTATTCATGTGTTTCAGCGGCATTTACCGACCACTGCAGTGCTGGCTGCTCTTCCACTGGAGTTTATTCTCCCGTTAACTCACAGCAGCGGCCGCTGTAAAGTATTCACTGTCTGACTGTCACACAAGCAGCTGATACATATCCCCAATTCCCCATAAGTGAATGTGTTTCAGTCTGAATTGACGCTGTTTGGCATCACAATGCTGTTATGAAAGTTTCTCTGGTATAAAATGGGGGATGTTAGCATAGCAACCGAAGCTAAACTGACTATCTTGACTACTTGTTGTTGCTATCCTATTGTGGCATAAGCCGTTTTCTACAGGCACATTTTACAGGCGTATTTTTCATTATGATTCTACTTGTGATAGTCGGACATGACAACCTGTGCACTGTGCAGCCCATGTATTGATTCCATATGATAGCTGCTATAATACAAAACAAAACGTCTGCCTGCTCTCCACAATGATCAATAACAGCGAACGGATGATCAAAGTAAGGCACAAATAAACAGAATCACATAAAGCCTGGTTAGTGTTGCCTGACTTTATAAAGTGTGTTTTTTTTTAATAAGTGTGTGATTGCGTTCTAGTCACTTTGCTCAGCGCTACTGCTTGTTACACTTTTATTTGCCGTAGGCTACTCGCCATAAACTGTTAGCTCAGGTTAATCTCGCCCCCCTCTGACGTAAGCGTGACGTATGCGGTTCTTGCTTCTAGACCGACCATTTTTTGGTGCTTGAAACAAACCGGATTCTAGAGCAAAGAGGCGGCTCCGCTGCGCTGTGAACAGGAAAAAACTGTGCTTTTCAGGCTCCAGCTCCGAACCGGCCCTGGAACCGCGTTGTTGTGAAAGGGGCAACATGGATTGACTCGCTTTTGTAGCCAGCCTCAAGGGGCCGTTTTATGAAATGCGGTTTTTGTTACTTATTTTTTAGCTTTGAACTTAAGAAGAGAAATAGGGAGGGAAAAGTTATTCATGTTGTAACTTTGTGATGTGTATACATACTGTATTTGTGAAAAATCAAAAAGAAAACAAAACACCAAGTCTCTTAGTAAGGCATTGATCCTTCACAAGGTGATGATCCTAAAACATTGGTCAAGAATCACCCATAGGTGTCCCACTTCTTTGAAAAGTAACTGGAAATGCCACATGTATGATATAATTGACATCATGTTCATCAAGCCACCATTCAGAACTTTCTTGAGCCCTGTACGGATGCATCTGCATTCATGATGTTTCTCTGCTCTGCACAATTGAAAGAGGGAACAGAGCCTGACATTCTGCACCAGATAATAAAAATAAATCTGTCTCCGTTTCGCCCTGCAGCTTCCCGCGTCCGTACGCATACTGTCGTGCTCAGCTCTCAGAGTCAGCTGTGTTTATCTGAGCCAGCGGAGCGTGAATCCTGCGATAGCGTTAGAGCAGCGTCAGAGGTATTGATGTTCTTATCGCCCAGGCTGAGCGTGGCTAAGGGCCCGTCGGACATCAAGCATCTCCGTTCCATTTGTTACAGTCGACTCAATCTAATATCTGGTCAGCAAGTGGACAGCTCACACAGAGGCTCATCCATCCCCACATCAGCAGACACATCTGCGATTCCCACTATGATAACGAGCACAGAGCCAGAGTAGTAAGCATCTTTTATAGTTTTGTTTCAATGGTAATAATAAAAACATATATTTGTCCTGTATTTAGTTAATTGCTAAACCACTCAGGGATCAGGAAGGTACTTCCTTGGATAAATACCGAGTATGTATACAGTTGTACTCCAAGTATGAGTTGAAAACTATGGATAGAAAACCTCCTGAAATCCTCAAAGTCTCAAAAATGAAAGCCAGCTTGAAGTGCCTTAGTTATTTTTCATTTTGCCTCAAAGTTTTTGCTACTGTTTGTTTCACTTTGCGTTAAAGCCAAACTGTGTAACTTTTTTAAAACAGACAAAGTTGAAGCTTGAACATATAGAGTGCCACAGTGACACATCCTAAAACCCATAAATCTATCGATACGATCTACAATTCGAAAATTATAAAAGTAGGGTAGACATGTGGATATTATCCGATTGAACAAAACGTGATCCGTCTCTTAAATGTACTGTATGTCAACCACAGACCTTATTTCGAGATATTTTCCAAAATCCTATGGAGAAATTGCATTGCTTTTTTGTCGAAGGAACCGGAAGGAGTTTACTTCAGGGATTTAGGACGCGTCACTGTGGCACTCTATTGCAACAGTATAACAAGATATGTCAAATACTTAACAGACACTGAAATACCTCAAGACCAAAACACTGCTTTCTGGTAATTGTGAGAATCAGTTTTGTTATTATTGTTTTGTTTTTTAAAAAGTGTTTTGGGTAGTATCTGCCCTGTTGGCAATGCCAGATTTGATCAAAATGGTAAAAACACGTCTGCTAAAGTTATCAGGTTTGTGCCCAGATGATGACACACTAAAGTAAAAGAGCAAAATGTGACACAAGATGCTCAGCCATGTCTGCTGGAGTTTGAACCTGTTATTTCAGAGAACATCTATACAGCTACACCTCACAGCTAAAACGTTTAATATTCTTTTAATCTTCTCACACGCTGATTCTATAAATATTTCACTGGTCAGTTGAAAAGCGCTCCTCTTGTAGCGTGTCATGATTCAGAGAGCTGCAAGCGGCTATCAGATGAAGTTTTACATGCTGTCTCTGATGGCTGAATGTGATTTGTTTTGATCCCTCGCTGTCTCTGTGGGTGACAGATAACGGGTGTCAACCAGCCTGACTACATCTCCACCACAGACAGATTACCTGCCGCGGCTCGCTATGACACACTACCAAGCTCCACGAGAGGAAAATAAAATCATGAAAGAAAGTAAATCCATACCTCGCAAACATAAATGAAACACATAATGGAGCTTGTCCACACATGCAAACTCTTGGACAAGTAATATGTTCATGAGAGTTGACAAAGTAAAAGATCTTAATGTTCTGTTGAAAAAGATCTACGGTTTGTTTCCTAAAGGGAACGTGGACTGTGTGTTACTGACCTGCTTGAACAGAGAAAGGCTTCTCCAGTAGGAAGATTGTCTGTTTCCAGTGTGTCTTTGTTGCCTGAGGACCCGTGGAGAACATCACCTAGTGCAACATAGGGAGAAAAAAACAGCATTGACGTCACAAATAACGCTCCTAACAGCTAGGAGCACTTTGTCACATTGTGGATTTTGCAAAAACTAAACCACTTTTAAATGTTTAAGCACATAAAATCTATTTTTAGTAATGGACCACTTTTTAAATTTGGATAAGTTTCTGGAAAATTCGACAGAAAACAATAGCAATGAGCCCTAATTTGAGCACATAAGCAACCATGCTATCCAGAATTATGTAGTTTCTTGTGAGCACATATTCAATAGTTACAGAGAGCAATACAATTTAAAAGTAGATTATATTTATAAGTAGTTCTTGTGTAAAGATGATATTTTTTAGTTATAAAGAAAGGAAGAAGAAGAATAAACCTGTTTTTAAAAACAGGAAAACCTACTGGAGATCCTGAATGAGTATTGTTCAGCTTTAAAAGGAACAGCACAAGTCCTTGGTATCAATCTTCTACTTTGTGGTGTCTGTTACATGTCAATCCACTCTTACACTTCTGTGTCTAAACCTTTATAGCCTAGCCTGCACTGCAAAATAAACTTAACCTGCATTTATAAAGCAAACAGATAATAACATGATACATAGTTGCCCCCTTAGTTTTCTGGATGATCCATAGTATGCAGTTTGAGTCTCAGGTACAAAACATTTTTGTGCAATCAAAAGGCATATCTGTATTGCTCACGGAGCTTGGCATCGGCTGTTCCAACTGGCCGGCTCTGTTGGGTAAGTGCTTATATCAGCAGTCGGCTAGGACGCCCGTCGATTGCCTGCGAACGCCTCAAGGAGGAGGGACACGCTAAAGCGTGAACATAATTGAGTTTCCGTTAAATGGCTTGGCTGTTGCCGATGCTGCTTACCTTGTTGCTGCAGCCTTTGTCAAAGAAAATGTCAAAGTAGCCCACAATTGCCTGTAATGAAATATGAGGGGCGTGTTAGAATGTGACAATATAATAAACATCTGGATTTGTTTGACTACATTGCAACCCCGACATGCAGAGCTGAGAGAGGCAGGACGCAGAACAACTCTCAGGGTTTTAATGAGCAATGTAAGCTAAATGAGCTGCTGTGTTTAGGAAGAAGGCAGTAAAACCAAACTGAGAATAACATTCACCCTCAATTACTTACAGGTATCTTTTCACTACTTACCAACCCTAAAGACAAATAGGGATGTTGGTTAGGTGGCTTGCCATGCTCACCATGTCATTGTTGTGTGTGTGTGTGTGTGTGTGTGTGTGTGTGTGTGTGTGTGTGTGTGTGTGTGTGTGTGTGTGTGTGTGTGTGTGTGTGTGTGTGTGTGTGTGTGTGTGGTCTGGAGAACTTTATTGGCTACCCAGTTAAAAAGACAGTGGGTATTGACTCATGTGAGAACTGCACTCTGCAACCCTCCTTCCTCTCCAAACCAACGTGGTTTCTCCTTTAGGCTGAGTCAACAACAACTTTGCTCACCTGGGAGACTTGTCATTGTACAAAAGAAACAAATTATGAGGCAGCCGGCAACAACATAAAGGCAATTTTGCTGACAAAAAAAAAAGGTTGGTATGTGAAATTAGCAAAGGTGGCAACTTTGGTGACAGCGTTGCAGCAGTGTGAAAACTGAGGGGGAACAAAACCAGGGGGAACAAAATACCAATGTGGTTTTGTTCCAACTGAATATGATTGTGTGTTCAGCTGAATAATGCTTACTAGGGTAAAGCTAATTACAGAACTGACATATCTATGCTCCATTATTAAAGAATCAATTTAAATGTGGATAAGAGTTTTGAAAACCAAGTAAGGAGTAACCGACTAGTCTGAAACTGAAAAAAAGCTTATTTTGTTGTTAGATGTGACCAAAAATGATACAAGTATGTACCTTCATATTGGGTTTTAAATGTCACTAATTGCCTTATTGGAAATGGTGTCTTACTTGAAAAAGATACAGTCTACTGATGTGGATTTACAGAGCTATAAACACAACTGAGTGAAACCAATTCACACATCCAAAACAAACTGAGGGAAGGTCCAGGGCCAGAGTGCCTGCAGGTGACCGCTGTCAGATATGCGAGGTAAAAACTAGCCCCCAGGCTCGTCTTCCTCCCATTTCTCCCCCCACTGGAGGAAGAGAAGCACTCTATCAATCTCAGGAGCGCACTTGTAGTGGCAATGATGCAGAACTAATAGCTTTTAATCCTGACGCAGCTGACAACTTGGAGGCCAGCTCTCCGAGACAAAGAAGAGCCGAATCAATGCAAGAGAGGGAGAGTGCAAAGCAGAGGGACAGAAGAGAGGAACGGGAGAGGCAAAGACAGGAAATAACACAAGAAAAGGTGAAGAAATGTTAAAGAAATAGGGGAAACCAGGATAGGGGAGGTGGCTTAAGAAAATATAAAGGCTGTGGAAGTGGTTTCTTTTTTAGAGAAGCTAAATCCAATACCATCTGTTCACAGCTTCAGTAAAAGTCTCACAAATTCTATTTTTAAAAATGTGCACGCAAAAAGAGCAAATTTTCACAAAGCATTCACATACAGCACACATAAATATACATACATGCAGACTTGATAATCATGATGCCATCAGAAGCCATGTTCAACACACTCCCCGCACAGAGGCTTCAATCAACCTTTATCGACTGAGACAGGCGGGGGCGGCGCGCTAACTCACAACTAAACCGCCAGAAAAGAACCCAAAGTGGATAAAAGAGCATGTCAACCCAATGCAATTATGGCTTTTAATGAACGTTACAGAGAGGCTCGGTACTGAGGTAATTAGGAAATTAGTAGTAATTACTCGTCAGGCAGAGCGGATTCACCTCTCTCAGCCGGAGAGGCAGAGATCATCCTCAACGCGCCTCGCTGATGACAACGCCTCGTAAGCGAGATTGATTGTCACTTCTACATTGTGCAACTTTCACACGAGCAGCGAGACGGGCAATTAACATTTAGGCCACAGAGTGAAACTTGCAAATACAAAGCCAGCGGAGAAGTGGGGCGCCTTACTGCTCCATTAAAATGACATTGAAAAGAATAAAAAGGTATGCCACTTCCTCATGCATAACACACAGAGGTAAAAGACCTTGATGACTCACAGCTGACACAAACAGGACAAAGCCTACAGTTGGTGATCACAGGCTTGTATTGCTTTGGTTTAAAAGTTGTCTGAGGGAAGAATCTTTGTCAAATTTCTTGGGGGCCCTTTAAAGGGATTTAATGGAGTCTTTTACGGCTCGCAGTAAAACGGTACAACTTTAAATCCAGCTGTTATTCAACTGCAGCTATCTTTGCTTGATAAGATTTAAAAGCCACTGTGTAAAAAAAACAGTAAATGTGCTGTATTACCAAAACAATGAGCTAAAAGAGAATTTATATAAGCAGCCCTTTCCCATTTCACAGTCATATGATGTATTGTTTAAAATTAGGTCTGTCAAGATCAGGGCTGCCAACACTCACGCATTGAGCGTGAGAGTCACACAATTAACCCATATCTCACGCACTCACGCCACACTTGCCTTTCCTCACGCTAAGTTTTCATCCAAAATAAATGTATATAAATATAAAAATAAAGTGAAGGAACAGCAAACCGAGCGGTCTACGAAATGAGACGGTCTTCTGGCTTAGTTCAGTAAAGTTGGAACGATATTGGAAGATTCTGATTTCACGGATCAATAACTCATGAACAAAACGTTATTCAGACACAAATGACGTCTCCTAAGTACCGTGGTAAGGTTGACAACGAACTACAATCACATTTTGATTAAAAAAAAAGCCAATACGGGCCGTCCTCCGAGCTGGACACATTACATTGGTCTCTATCCGCAGCCGGAGAAGAAACGAGTGCTCAGGGACCGTCTGCAAAGTGCAACTCCGAAAAAAGAGAATACAATAATATTCAATCACTATTATACAGCTTATTACTACCAAACTCACTACACACATCAATAGTCTCCTGTGTGTCATTCATCAAGGAGTTTGGAAGAATATGCTTTTCAATAATTGTGGGGAATATTTAGAATGTAAAATCTTCAATAAATATGGCATCATCTTCAATAACTTTATTATACAGTATATTTCTACCAAACTCACTATTTGCATTGTTGTTGTTGGCATCTGGTTAGCTTAACGGATATTAAAAGCTGTTTCTAAAACAATGAGAGGGAGAGCTCTGTCCTGAGATCACTACAGCTCAGTGAGGTAAGGGACTCTGTTTAGATACTTTAGTCTAGTTATCTCAGTGGGTCTCATACGTTTTGGTCACCATTT